TTATCAAATCATATCTTCTGCTGTAAGCAGGTTGAACTCGATGTAATTGTAAAGAATTAGCTTTGTCATAATGCTATATTACAGTAAAATCTATGAAAATATAGGCTAAACAATGCCTGATCCCAGACACAACTGGCAAGAGAACCTGGTGTGTGTGAAGGTGTGTGTGTGTGATTTCAGGGCTCTTGTTGCCTTGTTGACCATGGTCCCGGCTGGTCGACCTCCGGCTGACCCTGAGCCATTTGAAAATGTGATTGTAATCCATGTGAGGATTTGGCCTGGGTGTCTATTACCACTGTAATCTGTCTCACTGGCATCCAATATTCATCCCACGTCCAGGTTAAGCCCCTCTCTCTGTCTGCTCCACCCATCACCATGGGAGAGAGAGGGAGAGGGGATCCACTGAAGGTGTTAGCATGACTGGAAGCAGCAAGAGAGAGAGAGAGAGAGAGAGAGAGAGAGGTTTTGAAATTGAGAGAGCACTGCTTCAATCAAGCTGCTGGGTCGGGGTGAAGAAATCTATCGTGGAACACAAGGTCTCATTAATGCAGCAGGGATAGCTTTAACCCCCACCTCCATCTTACACACAAACAGACACACTCACGCGCACACACACACCTTACTGAATAAAGAGAGGTGAAAACATGGAAGAGAAATGGATAGATGTAAGAAAAGAGATGATGCATTTCTGGGGAGAAGCTGGGAGAAATTCTGCTCTGTTGATGCAATGAAATCTTCACATAGAAAAAAGGAGTTTTCTTTGGAATAATTATAACCAAAAATAAACATTTACACCTTTTTACTGGAAGGAATTCTGGGTGTTTTATTCTTGGCTAGGCTATGTTTTATATACTCCCTTCCTATTTTGTGCCTTAAAAAGCATAAATAAAACAAATCACCTGTAGACCACTTCTCTCAGGAGGCTGGGATCTTGTCACTCACATGATCTGTAGTGTTCTTGGTATAGTATCTAGATCACTGCAAAATGTGATAAGTGAAGCTTAGTAGTTCTGTCTTAAATATGTCAGCATTGCCATTATGCAAATCAGAAATTAATTTCATCTCAAGAAGTTTCTTAAATCAAAAGGTGTAAATAGGTGGCAGAGAATCCTCATAAACAAATTCTCCTAACAACAATGCAAAATCAATGCTTGAATTGACAACTGACTTTATATTGAGACAGAGACACTATGTACAATATGGGATTGGGCTCAGCATCATGTCTTATTTCAAATGACTTTATTGTACAATATCTACAGCAACTTTATTATTGACTGTTCCTGACTATTTGTACTGTTCACCAACACCAGAGGAATCATTTAGTGTCTTAGTGACATTGCGAGCAGAATTATTCTTGTTCAATGAGAGATGGGTACAGAAGTTGATTCTCAACTTCTACTTTTCGCAATATAGATGATGGAGGATCTGCACAGCAGTTGTATTGTAAAGCACATTCTGTGTATTTCTATTTGTGACAGGTATTGAAGCTCCAGGTCTCATGTTAACACTTTTTAATACATTTTCAATCCTCTTGTTTTACATTCACAGATTAAAACATTGCGGTGGAATGGGGCAGTATTAATTTTGGATACCTCATCCAAAATGCACAGCAAGTTTTTCAGTAAGGATGTCTGTTGAGTGATAGGAAATACCTAAAACCTCCTTTTTCAACTTAAAAACATGATAAAATCACGTGTATTTATTTCTTTTCATTGTCCTCTCTTATCATGTTTGAAATAAAACGTTTTTGTAGGATAACAAAAATAAAGACCAGGAAGAGAAGAGGGTAGAAAAGGGAAATAGATGGAGGGTGGACTCAATCGCTATCTGGGTTACAAGTCCAAGACATCTGTCACACAAACAGATCAGTTTGATTGGTGGGAGCCCATCTATCTAGATGGCTTGTCGGCAGTTGGTAAATTTATATTCCCCCAAGTCCCATCCTCCATCAGCGGTTATGGTGTGGCCTGGCCAAGGCTGTCAGCCACCGCAGTCATATCTTATTTTAAAACTCGACACAGTCATGACATCAGTAACTTACCTGCTCTACACCTCTTTTGTATATGTACAGTGTACCTTTATCTATTTTTCATGAACACCAACAGTGATCTCTGTATTTGCATCAAGAGGAGGACGTTTTTTGTTAGAGTGAAGGTCGAAACACACTGTTTCAGATGAAACACCTCAGTAAGAAAACACATGTAACCAGATAGAAAAAGAATTGATGTAGCATGATAGGGTTTAAGTTATTCACATATTTAAGTCAATTGATAATCATAAAAATGTGAGAATTTGCACAAAAGTAAGAATTATTTCTCAGTGGATAAAGTTCAGGTGCCTTTTCCTGCTTTTCTCATGGATAACTAGAGAAGGCACAGTAAAGGAGCATATTTTTAATTGATCATTGCTCATTAAAACGTGGAAGTTACACTGGCACAAATATTTCACAGCTAAGAAATGCAGCCAAAATAAAGCCTTGATTTATACATGTTTGAAAGTGTGGTGCATCAGGCAAATTATCACACTTCCCCGTGACCTAAAGACTACAAATAATGCTGGTCTGTTGAGTGCAGCTGAATGGAATTAGTCAAATTCATTATCCCCTATGTTGCTGCATTGTTGATTTTTTTTCCTCTAGCCGGTTGGTAAAATTAGCCTGAACAGTTTGACAATAATGGGGACAACGCCAAAGGAATTTAGAGCAGCTTCCCGATGATTTGTGAAATCCACCCACAAACACATACATGCTGGTACACATGAACACCCACCTGCACACACACATGCACTCTTGCTCTATCTCCCTGCATCACAATGCTAATAATCGGATTAAGCCGGTGTGTTGAGGGTGGGTCGGCGGCATTTCTATTAGCGCCAGTTTTACAGAGCCTTGGCAGTGCCCTACAGTAAAACACAGAAATCTTAGTTTCATGAGGCCGAACACTCAGCATTTTATCTCTTTTCTCTTCTCCAGGCTGAACGGCGAGGTTCTTCATAGAGGCAGTATTTTGTCATTAGGCGAGAAGCGGAGGAGACAGTAATGAAAGGTTTTTAACCTGTGTGTTCGGGGGGGAGCGCTGGACAACTGGCCAAGGCTGCAAGGTGCTGCACGCAGCAGATTTTCAGCAGCTCGGCTACAGGGATCAATAGGGATACATCTTTGTCTGATTACAGAGATGTACTGGTGAGCACAGCAGTTTGTGTGTGAGTGTGTGTTTACAGTCTGACGTTTTGGGGCTGTCTGTTTCAAACTCACACAGCTCACTGTGGCCTGATGGTGGAATAAGTGCATTTCCTATTTATAAGCTGTGTTGGAACATAACTCATCACTCTTACTGTACCAAAGTTGGAGGTACTTGTACTTTATTTGAGTCTTCCCATTTACTACAATTATTAAATTGTGAAAGATTACCTTCCCCAACACTGTAAAAGGGTAAGTGCTCATGACAAGAATGAGCCTTAGTATTAGTTTTTCTACTGCAGTTCAGTTTGTATGTCACAATAAAAAATACAGTATAATTAACAGTAATTAACAGGGCAAGAAAAAAGAAACAAATCTACACCTGTGCTCCAAGCTCAGCCTTCAACTATCACTGAATAACAGTTTTAACAGTTTCTCAATGAATGTACATTGCTAACAAGCCACAGTGACAAAGTCAGCCATCCTGCATGCCAAGTGTGTTTTTTAGAGAGTGTCGACACCCCTAAGCAGGCATAACTGTCGCATATGAGTTATTACACATCTGTGTGTGGATACACAGTGCGCCAGATGCTGCAGTTAATGGCACACCTAACCTCCCACCATGAGCTGGTGTACTAAAACCCAAGTGGAATTTTCCACTGGCTTCTTCCTCTTCCGTCTCACCGCTGTCCAGTGCTGGGAGAAGCCTGTAGGGGATGGTCCAGACAGGATATTAATGGGGCCCTCCAACCGTCAGAAGGCCTGACAGAGCCCTGTTTCATTGTCACCTTGCCTTGGAGGACGAGGAAAAACTTGCAAAGCTTATTAGCCGAATGGAGCAGTTTCTACCGCTAACTTACTCCATCTCTGCCTCAGCGCTTCATTAGACTGTCTTACATCAGAAGCCCGCTCCTTTCCGTGTTTCCTCACCACCACTTACACACACACGCACATATGCGCACACACAGGGTGACATCTCCCACCTAATCAAGTAGTGGATTATCTTGTCCTGATAAATTGGAGCTTGTAGCACTTGAAAGGTCCTCTTGGAGGAGTGCCCCCTCCCCCTGACAGCTAGATCGAGCCCACAGGGAGCAGGGAGAGAACATCGCTTGGTAATGATTTGTGGTAAATCGGACAAATGTTTTTGGAAAGACCCCTTTCAAGCAAGGGGATGATGAAAACCACAAGTCAAGTTTAGACATGAGGGAGAAAAAAAAATGCAGAGCTCTATGAGCTCTTCATGAATGAAGTTATCATGGAAATGATTAAGTGGTGCAAAAGATTTAGATTAAGTCAGGTGCACAACCTGCTTTAAATAGTGAATGTGATCAATGTTACTGAATCAAGTTGGTTAAAAAAAAATAATTAAATAAGAGCGAGCCCAGATATTTGCAGACATTTGTAGACCCAGCAAGCTCACTCTGCAAATATACAACTGCAAAGACACACTTTATCACTTCGAATCAGCTTGTACAGTATATTTAGAAGGTTTTGTGTCCCTTTTAGCCAGTTCACACAAAGGCATTTGTCATCAGGGGAAATAAAATTTTTGATTTTGTAGTGGCAATCTGAAATAATCCATATTCATATATGGATCCAGACTACATACCCGTGTATGCAGTTTCACCCTCACTGAGGTGCAGCTTTTCCTTCATGCAAGGTTTAGGGCTTCACAAATCCCTAAATTACTCTCGTAATATGGAATATGAGAGATATGATAAGAAAATTACCTAATTGATCTTACTGCTCACCATGACTAACAACTTTTCCTTTCCTTTACTTTTCTTTTTTCTGTCTTTGCTGTCTCTGTCTATTGTAGGAGAACCCTTACATGTGTAATAATGAATGTGATGCCAGCACGGAGGAGCTTGCCCACCCTCCAGAGCTCATGTTTGACACTGAGGGCCGTAACCCCACGACCTTCTGGCAATCCACATCCTGGAAGAAGTACCCAAAGGCCCTCCTGGTCAACATCACGCTGTCTTGGAACAAGACCATTGAGCTGACCGACGATATCGTCCTCACTTTCGAATCAGGCCGGCCTGAACAAATGGTCCTGGAAAAGTCGCTGGATTATGGACGAACCTGGCAGCCCTACCAGTTCTATGCCACTGACTGCCTGGACGCCTTCACCATGGAGCCCAAGACGGTGCAGGACCTGACCCAGCATACCCTGCTGGACATCATCTGCACTGAGGACTACTCCCGAGGTTATGTGTGGAAGTATGATAAAACTGTACGCTTTGAGATCAAGGACCGCTTTGCGCTGTTTGCTGGGCCCCGGCTCCACAACATGGCCTCGCTTTATGGCCAATTAGACACGACCAAGAATCTGAGGGACTTCTTTACCATCACAGACCTGAGAATCCGCCTGCTCCGGCCTGCCACAGGAGCTACGATGGTGGATGAGAACAACCTGTCCAGATACTTCTATGCCATTTCTGACATCAAAGTGCAGGGCAGGTAAGATCTGAATTCATCAGTACACATGTCATGTGTCGGACTCAAGGCTGGATTACCAACTGGGTAAAGTGGGCAACTGTGCATGTCAATTGCTTTTGGCAGTTCGATTAATGGCAAATTTGTAAGAGAATTTGCACCAATCAATTAAAGTCAGGGGCCCAACAAGAGATTTTTGACCCTTGTGTGCCCTAACAGGTTAATCCAGCCATGGGTGGACTAATTCTCTAAAGGATTTAGGATGGATAATGTAATGAGGATTCTATAGGCTGATACCTCAGCGTTTTTTCTGTGGTTTTACTACAGTGACAGTGCAGCTACCAGTAGTGAAGAAAAATGCGTTTACCATTACCATTCTTTCCAATTAGGCAGCGGATCCATAATGATGTGCAGAGTTCACCAGTTGTCAGCATGTCTTAATTAACCAAGCTCCTTCCAGCTTGCAGAAGCACTATACTTTGGACGCCACGTTCACTCAGCTGTTTGTTAGCCTGTGGAAGACGTTAGAGGTAGCATTTCAGCCGTCAGGTCACTGCACGTTATAATTACTGTTTCATTTGCAGAATCCACACAGGGTCATATAACATGCAAACAAGACGCCATTATACTGTTAGAGGAAAGGCCGACAAAAGCTTCCCCTGCTTCTTGACGCTACTACAAGAGTCACTGGGGCATACACTTAAGTGGATCTGTTTTACACTGTGTGGTTTTTCAATTTAACAGATGTGAATGTGGTTGTAAGGGGTGAAGGAATGAAGATTTAATTACTCTTGTTTTGCTCTTCACACATGAGAGGGTCGCAGTACAGAAGTGCAGAGTGGCGGAACGTCACAACAATTCAAGGATATGGGTAGAAGTGTTTTAGTCGGGCTGCCTGGCTGTGACTCTTCACAAACAGACTTAGGTAGATGACTGCCAATAGAAACATCACTAGTGTCTCGCCCAGTCGCAGCGAACATCAGTTATTATAACCATGTGTTTGTGTGGAAAAATAGATCAAAGTTTTCACATCTGAATTAGAGGGTTCGATTCAGGAAGTCATTAAAAAAAGGACTTGAGTTATAGTCTTTCTCATGCCACCCGGGCTAATAGAACACACTGTAATAGCATGTTTCCTGCCATGACATTATATACATGAATATTGTCAAATGCCTTCAAGCTATTTAATGAATCTCTAATTTGTTGATTTCTTTAATATGCTATTAAAATGGAATATAGTCATTCTGCACATTGCTGGAGTGCACTGTAAATGGGCAGGTACCCTTGAGCACAAGGGGCTATGATAATAAATGCCTCGCTCAGAAATTGAATTTTTGACTTTTCTCATGATTGAGAAGGTCATTCAGCAAAAATAACTGGAGGGAATTTACTAACACAAAAGAGTTGGACGGAACATCCATTCAACACCCGCTGAAATGAAGGGGGCTGTCATAAACGCAGATTATTTATTCTATCTGACTAATCATGACCGAACTCATACATCCCTGTGGGGCTGTAGATTTGAGCAATGGCTGTGCGCCACCATCGGGCAGCGGTCGTTTACCAGCCCGCTGCTTTTAGAGTGACGCTCGCCTGAGAAATGTTCCCCACTGTTTACCAAAGGTAACACACAGTTCAGCCATAATGAGATACACTCTACACAGAGAGGCTTCACTCTCCTTTTCCCCCTCCCATGGCGAATCACTGCTCAGCCCCTTTCTCCATGCGTCGTATACTACACATAAGCTCCTTAACCCCCAGAATACAGTTCTGTGAGACTCGGCGGGAGCGATTTTGCAGGGGCAGTGAGGTTGAATCTGGCATATTTCAGCGTGCTGCCTGGACTCGGCTGCCATCGGCCTGGATCAGGAGTGAGAGGGGGTGTGGAGGGAAATACAGTAGAAGAGCTCGCAGCTTTTCTGTCCGTGCCACAACAGTGTGAGAAACAAAGAAAGGAACGTAAGCTCTTTGCCAAAGTAGGTCAACCTAGAAAAGATAGCGAGGGAAGGGAAGAGGTACAACTTTGCAGAAGTAGTCATCTCTGCATCTGTTACATGTAGCTAAAGTTGTTACCGTGAAGCCAGAGGTGTCATGCATGACCATTCAATTGTGGTTCATTACAAGGAGGGTCTGGACCAAAGGCACTTGGGGGGAAAAAATCAATGCAAAGAATTTCAAATCAAACCAAGCATGGAACAGTGAGATGGATGTGAACAATGCATACTGCCTGGTGACTTTAATGAATTTGACACCCTCACTGTTCCACTGTATCAGCAGTGCTAAATGGGTGTGTGGAGAGAGAAAGCATGGAGACTTAGGAGGATTTTCTAATTATCAACTGTATGACTTTGCCATAATTGCTCTGCCTCTCTTTTTTTACATGCTTTACAGTAACCACAGCGTGCAATTTCACCAACTGTCTCTCCCCCCTTTGCTCAACCTCCCCCTTCTTCTTCCACCTTCCCGCCTGTGATCAATACAGTGTAATTAAAGCTGGAGAAGATTCAGGCTACTAAAGGATCTCTTTCTGGCTGTTGGTTTTTTTTTTTTGTTCGGGCTCTGTCCCCTGCTCCCTGTTTCGGTCTATTTCTCCTGTGCAGAGAAGAGTTGTCTCTGGGTCCTTGTCTTGAATTATATAAGAAGACCCAGCCCCATTTCATTCCTGTACTATTAGTCAAGGGATGAAGACCAACCACATAGCTGCAAAAAACACTACCCACCACAAAACAAAGAATACACATATAGCAAGAACTGTAGGTGGGGATTTTGGCACTTTTTTTTTTTTTTATCGCCGTCATGGTTTTTAATTGTTGAAATCTACCAGAACAGTGATTTTATTGGCCAAAGTTTTCAACAACTTCCCAATCTGGCAACATGTTTTTACTTGTATTGTTATTTCCAAACCTGTTTCCCGCTGTCAGTGCATTAATAATAACTGTGAGCTAAATTTCCAGCTTGTCTCTACCCTGTTTTGGGCACTGCAAACAGAAGATAGGGAAAGGAAAGTTTGTTTCCACAATTTATACTTGCAGCAGTGGGAGTTGTGATTCAATTTCCAAAGCATATATGTGCCGCAGGACATTACCAGGGAAGGTCAGAAACAACCTCAAGGGTTCACAGTCACTTTGACTGCGGGGTAGACAGGTAATTCACTTGAAGGGGCGAATTGGTTATTAGATGCACCGACCTTTTTCCTGGTCTAGATTTCCCCCAGCCTCATGGAAAGAAAGTCCAACTCAGTGACTGCGAATCCCCACGCTGATGATGAACCTCAACCTCTCAGGATATTGCTGTGGATGACGCACAGTCTGGTTTTAAATGTCCCAGCTACTGCTGCTATATGCTTGAGCTCACACAGAGTATAACTTCACCTGTTCAAAACTCTTGGAAAGATCATTTGATTGTTAAACAATGGGAGGAATGGTCTCTACTTGTTGCCTTTTTCTTTAGTCTCCTCAAATCCACCAGCCAGGCGCAAAAGTCGATGAACAGGTATACATTTTCTTCTCACTATTTTCTTTTCATTAAGTCATTGACAACAATCCATCACAAACACAACCATTTCCAGCTTCAGATCACTTGACAACACATGCCAATGGCAGAAAAAAGCTGATTTGGACTTGTTTGAAATTGTTGTCCGTGAAAATGTAGAGATAAATGTTTCTGGTGTGAGTCCAGGTTTTCTTTTAGAATCTCCTCTCCAGATTTTGACCAATTCTGTCAAAACAGTTTGTTAATATGATTAATTTCTTTCTCCTCTATCCCTGAAGTATTTGCTACGCATTTGAGCTTGTCTCTGAAATCCATCATCACCAAAAGACCCCTTTTCAAAGATCGGATATGAAAATTTCTATTTCCAAGACCATTAGTTAAATCACTGGTTTTGCTGTAATCAGATGTTTACAGATGTGTATACTCCTGCATATGTGAACACAGTTGAATGAAGATTTTTGTGTTTCCAGAGCTATGCAAAATCTGATAAACAGTAAGTTGGGTCTACAAGCTTGAAAGGTAAAGGTAGAGTACATTAGCAGCTACCACTGTATCACACCACAATGTCTAACCAAACTGTTGATAGTCAAGTTGCATTGTAGGTAAGAAGAATGTATGGAATAAACAAGAACATGTCTGTGGTTCTGCAAAGCTAAAATCAGTGTAGTAGGTGACCAGCAAAAATTAGTAAATTTCTACATCTGAATGTAAGAAGAGTTCTTGCTTGTTCTTCATCAAGGAATCTGTTTGCGTTATTAAAGCACTTTTTGGATTGAGATCAATTCACCAAAATGTATTAAATCATATGAGAAAACTGACCTAAATATGTAGTAAAACTGGTATGAAAATTGCATGTTTTATCGTAAGATCACTGCCTATTTTGTATCAAGTGCAATATAGTATGTTACGCTAATGCTGGGGATTTATCATTACTAAAGCACTGCTTGTACTCTGTATATTTTTGGATCAAGTCCATGCCAGTACAAATCAATAACATTCAAAAGTGCAATAGAGGGAAGCTCTTATCTGAGGCAAACAAAATATACCATCTGTAAGAGATTAGACACTTGATCTGTCCCACAGTGCATGGGTCATGCTGTTGGGTGCATTCTTATTGCTGTGTAGTTCAGTGCATGTGTTCTCTGGATACAGCTGTTTCAACTACAGATCAGCAATTTGGTGAGTGATGGCTCTACCAGGTCTCCCCTAAGGGAGGAACAAACACAAAGTCGATCTGCTTTTTTTTTCCCTCTCCCTCTCCCTCCACAGTGCTTGGCTTGCTCTTAGGTCTGCCTGTAGTCGACAGATAATCTATTTGTGCTAATTTCATGTTTCTTGCTGCCCACTTCCCCCTTGAATAAGTCATTCCGCTTGTCTACGCTCTTCTTTCTCTCTCTCTCTCTCTCTCACTCTCTCTCTCTCTCTCTCTCTCTCTCTCTCTCTGTCTCTCTCTCTGTGCCACCATAAGCATCTATTTACCTTGCGCTGTGCTCTGCACTTGAGCCTTTTTTTGAATCAGCAGCCCACATTAG